GTGAGTGCTCCATGGAGTGTGAGTGGGGAGCGTGAGTGCTCCATGGAGTGTGAGTGGCGAGTGTGAGCGCTCCTGCTCTGCCGGCGGTGGAGAATCAGCTGGGGTGGGCAGGGAGAGCGCAGCTGAGCCTTCCCCAGCACTGCTGCTCTGCAGCTTGGCCTCGGGCCATGCCTGCCTGCAGGGACAGCAGCCCAGCCACCCTGCCTGCCCAGCCCTGGCCATTTGGGCTTTGGCTCTGAGAGCCTGTAAGGAGAGTCCTGCTGTAAATCCCTCTGCTGTCCCTTTCCCTTTCAGATCTGCTGAGTGCTTTCCCTGAGAGATTCTGCTGCCCTGTCCCATCTCACTGAAGCCAGTAGAAAAGCCCAGCCTGACTCACAGGAGCTGTGAATAGCACAGCCGTTTGTCTTTGTGCTTTAGGAAACTGCCCCGCATCAGAAAAGCATTGTTGGGAAGTTAACAAAAGAACGGACAAATACACACATGCGGTCAAAAAAGCTAAACCTGCAAGAATTAATGTCTAGGCAGGCAGGGCAGTAGTGCTGACAGAGAGCTCCGGGCTGAACGCTGAGTTGGTGCGGCCACACAAAAGGAGTTTCAGTTTTCAGAGGCACAATCACAGCAGTCTTCCCCTGCTGGCACTTCCCCTGCCTGCCCTCACCCGGGTTGCTCTCTCCTTGGCGCAGGCAGAAGGAAGAGCTGCTGTGCCGGACTCAGGAGCTGAAGCTTTGTGCTGCCATCGCCTCCCCAAAGCACTCATCCTCTCTCCCCTGCAGCCATTAGGAAATTGTCTCATTGCTCATCTGTAGTCCAAAGGCGTTATCCCAACAGCACCAGCTGATGAATTATTTAGGCAATGAATTACAGATTGCAGCAGGGGGATCTGGGATCTCCTAAATGATAAGCATTGCCCTGAAACTGGGTAGCCAAAGGCCGGGTTTTTAACATGTCCTGTGCTTCAGTTTCCTTTCCTGAGCCCCAAAACACCAATCCTCTGGTGAGGGAGGGATCCCCCTCTGTCTTGTACTCAGGGTGACCTACATCCAACCAAACTTGGGATGCAGAGGTGACATTCCTGTCACAGGATTTATGCACAGGCCAAAAGATGCATTTTTGTGAAAGCAGAGGAGTCAGTCTGAATGCAGTGTGCCCCAATGCCACTCACAGCTGCACCCCTGTTGTCTTGCAGCACATTAAAGGAAAGGCTCAATTTGCAATTCTCCAGCTGCATTTTATTCCCTTTTCATGTCCAACAGAGAAAATACCTAACTGCCTTTTATTTGCCTGATTTATTTATGTATTTCTGGAGAGCTTTCCTGCCTGACTGAGGAAAACAGCAAACCTAAGGGAGCAGAATGAGGTGAGAAGGCAAAGTAAGGTGAGTTCAGAACAAGGGCATTGTCTGGGGATGCATTTCCAAGCTGAAACATCAGTTCTGTTCCTGCAGTGCCCCAGCCTTACCAGAGTGGCCATTGTTGGTCATCCTGAGCTGCCCCTGCAGGGGCTCATCGTAGCCACCGAGCTCCAGCTGCAGCTTGGGGTTGTACCTCACCTTCCTCCTCTGGATGTCAATGGGGGACTGCTGCTGGCCAGCACAGTCTGGGAAGTGCTGTGCCCAGTGCTCCTCGTCCAGCTCTCCCTCTCCTGCAGGGAGGAAGGAGGGTGGCAGGGATGTGCTGTCAGCCAGCAGCCCCAGCGCTCCTCATGTGCCGGCAGGCAATGCCAATCTAATCATGGGAACGCCAGGAGCTGCAGCCATTACGGGCTGCTGTGCCTTCCCCAGAGTGGAAATGCACACGGTTGTGTCTGCAGGACAGCCGTGCTGCAAAGTGAGAAACCTGCATTGCAGCAGAGGCTCGGCGACTGCTGGAGGCTGAACCCCCACCAAAGGATGAGGGTGTTCACATGGAAATGGGGATTTAAATGGGTCCCGGCTGCCAGAGGTGAGGAATTGGCTTCTTAACCAGTGCGAGTGAATAGGATCAGGGCAATAGGCAGGAAGGCTCAGCTTGGGATCAGGAACTGACAGCAATTAGCTATTTTTAACTAGGGAGAGAGCAATTGCAATATTGACACTCTTCAGCAATATCCTTTGTTTTAACTTAGCCCACTGAAGATCATAAAAGGATTACCACTTACTTCAGTGAGCTCTGCAAACAAACCCCTGACACAAATCAAATTTAGATAAAATTTCACCAAAAAAATTATAAATACCTAAATAAATACTTAGTGCTCTGTACTGCCTGGGATATGACAATAAAACAAGAAGCAGGCAGTATTTAAAGCTTTTCCTTGCAGGATCATCCACAGGGCAGCTTTTCTTCTAACACATTCTAAAGATTTCCCCCATTGTTTGAACCTCCTTGTGCTGCCAACCCTGACAGTGTGTCCTAACCACACAAAGGAGTAAAAGGAGGTGACATTGAGGAGAATCACTTTCAAGACACGGAGGCATCGCTGAAGTGGAATAAATTGGCTGCTCTGTGATCTCTCACTAAGGGACAGCAGGGAAGGGAAGGGAAGGGAAGGGAAGGGAAGGGAAGGGAAGGGAAGGGAGCCTGCAGCCCCAGAGCAGCCCCGTTTTTACCTTTGTATGTCCAGGACACCTCGTGGCCGTGGCTGAGGGGCACCAGGAGCAGGGGGAGCAGGAGCACTGCCACCAGCATGTCTGTGTTGTACCTGCAGCACAGCCAAGGGGGAGATTGGTTAAAAACCCCTCAGAAACCCCAAACTCTGGTTTTCTCCAGGCCTGGCCTTTCCAGCAGCCCTCCTGCCCTCCTCCTCACCCCCAGCAGGACAATGGGTTTGGCCAGTCAGCTCTGCTGGCCTTTGGCTGAGCTGTCCCCACAGAGGGGACAGGTGCCCCGATGGCCAGAGCTGATGGCCCCGGGTCTGTCTGACCCCTGCACAGCTTTTCCTGTGCATTCATAGCTGATGAATGGGTTGAAAAGCTCCTCGCTGCAAGTATGGGTACAACAGAGCTTTGTAAGCAGAAACAGGCAGCCCAGACCTCAGGGCTGCTCCCCTTTGCACAGCAAGGACCAAGGCACAAGGCATTCGCTGGATTTCAAAAGTGCAGAGCGTTCACAATCCTGCTGGAAATCAAAACTGCAGACACTTGGCTCCTCTGAAAATTAGAGACTGGGTCTAAAAGCACTCCACAGCCCTGAGCCTTAGCATTCAAAGCATTTTGCTTTCAACACCTTCCCTCATCACTGGAAATCTAGTTTTGAATGGGAGAGATTTGAAACGTTTGAAAAATTCAGAGCTCTCAAAAACTACTTAGAGTTGAAAGGTGCAGGAGACTGCAGCCCTGATGGCTTTTCAAAAAACACGCAGGAATTCAAATAAAAACTACCAGATCACAGGTGCCTAAATGCTCCTGTCGACTTCTGTGTCTCTTCAGACACTTGATTTCCTTAAAAATGTGTCCCAAGCAAAGACTTGTGTATGGTCCAGTAAAAGTCATTTGGCAGAACAGGGAACAGACCATGGATTCTCTGCCTGCCTTTCTGTATCCTGTCACCAGGCAAATGCCATTCCCTTTGAAAATCCTCCTCCTCCTCCTCCCTCAGGAGTGACACGCTGCTGGCAGCCCTTTCTTCCCAGCTCCTAAACCCGCGGTTTCAAAACAAAAGGGGAGCAGAAATCTCCCCAGGAGTGGAATTTTTACCTTCTATGGAAAAGAACTAGAGAGTCCAACAAAAGCAGCATAGCTGGGCTGTTGGTTTCAGGTGACAGACAGCAACATCAACCACGAGGCAAGAAAACCCAGATCAGTGAAATCTCAGCACTCCGTGCCCAGCATCCCTGCCACTTGTGATAAAATTGGCAATTATTTTCAGGAACAAGGTGATTTTCAGCCGCTCAGCAAGGTGGCAGCAGCTGAGGTGAGTCTGGAGTGAGGGTCAGTCTGAGCTGCACAGAAGGTAAGACCTGGTGTGGCAGTTTGGGGCAGTTTGGGTGGCAGTTTAGGACAGTTTGGGTGGCAGTTTAAGGCAATTTGGGTGGCAGTTTTGGCAGGACAGCCCCCAGGATTCTGCAGCACAGGCAGTCTTGCCCGTTCTGTGATTCTATGAATAATAACAGCAATTCACCAGTAAGAGGCACAGGTGAGCTACAGGTGCCATGGGAAGTCAGATTTCTGTGCTGAAGAAGATACAGGTATTTGACACAAAATCTTACTCTTTGCAAGTGAATTGTCAATGTAAAAAGGCCTTTCCTGGGTTGCTGGTTTGTGCAGTGCATATTTAATCTTTGGGAACTGCTGTAATATTGAGCTGATTAACCAAATGTGTTTTTTCCCTCTCTCCTCTGAAGAAGTCATTTATTCTGACGGTTGCACTGAACTGTGTAAGGACCAAACCAAGCAAACCTGCCCTGCAATGCACTTCTTAATCCTTGTGTATCCAGTTGTGTAAATAGGCTTTGAAATTAGCTGAGGGCGAAATTTTGGGGGTTTATACCTCTTTGCACTTCAGGATTCCACACGGCAACTCAGGAGGGTGTGAAGAAGAGTCAGGCACAGGGGATCACCTCTGCACTGGAGAGCTGCACTGGAATTCATTTTTAATGGAGGTTTTGCAGCATTTGTGACATTTCATTGACATCAGCAGGGGCTGTGGGTGCTCAGCACACCCAAACCCCACATCTGTGTTAGCTCAAATTCTTGTCATTAATGTCCCTTCTAACCCAAACCATTCTGTGAGGACACAGCAATCTGTGGAAAGGATTTACTAATTGCACAAAGCATGAATTTCTTTTGGAGTTAGGACAGAACACTAATGTCAATTAAATTCTTTAAATGTATTTGCATATTGAAATTCTAACTAGGAGCTGAATGTTATGGAAGTCCTCCTGTATAAGTACTGCCCACATCAACCACTGGTTACTGGTTCTTGGGGCTTTTTTAGTGGATGTGGTATTAAACCTGGCTGGCCTGAGGCTTGTCTTGGTCAGCTCTTTTGCTGCCTGGATGCAATTGCAGGAGAATAATTTTCTCCATAATAATTTTCTGGAGAGAAGAACGGACAAAGTGCCTGGGCAGCATGGCAGCACCGTGCCTGAGGTGAGCTGGGGGTTCACAGGTGGAGACTGGAGCAGGACTCATCTCTGCACCGAGATTCAGCAGTGAGAAATTCTGATGTTGTGTGTGTCAGCCATGGATATTCTTGGCATGATTTCTTCCCAGCAGCAGGGAAGTTTCACACAGACCTCGGCCTTCCCCCTCCTGCCTCCACTGCAGTAGGAAATAAGCCTTTTATCCCACATCGTTGGCTTCCATGCTCTTCACTTTTATCTCTACAGTTTCCCCTGACTCTTTGCCATCTTTTAAATCCTGCTTCTCCCAGGCTATTCTCTCTGTCCTCGCCGGCCTAAAGCTCAGCTCAAGTCTGACATTCTGAGAATTGGTGGCCACATTAAAACCTTGATGTGGCATTGAAGTGGCTGGCTCAAACCTCAGTGCTCCTTTGACCCAGAACTTGAAAGGGTTAACTCCTCTGCCTCTGAATCAGCAGGAATTCCATCAGGGCTTGCAGTGAGAGCTGCATCACTCGCCAGCCCAGCAAACATTTGACCAGGAACAGGCTGTTTGAAGTGAGATGGACAGAGTGCCTTCAATCAGGCCATTCGGGTTTTTCTGAGTGAGTCTGAAACCTCTTCAAACAGAGCTCTCTCTGCTGAGGTTGTGCTGGGTGAGTGAAGGCATCCAGAGCCTGCACGGGCTTTATGAAAGGCAAAGATCAGCCAGTGCTGGCAGGCCCAGACCCATGAGGAAAGCTGACAATAGCTGTGCGGATTGAAACACGAGATTCTTTTATTCAACAATTCCTGTAATGTTTCTACATCTTATTTCCAAAACTGGCCCTCTTTTCTTTGATATTTTGCCCAGGCTCTTTTTTTTTTTGTTCCCTTTTTGCCCCTGGTTTTCAAGTACATACAGAGATCACAGAGGCAGAAAAGCGCTGGAATTCATTTCTCCAGTTCACACAATCCCTTTAGACCTCCTTCATCTTATACAATATTTTGATGTATTTGACTGAATTTAATCATAGAATCAGAATGGTTGGGTTTGGAAGGGGCCTTAAAGAATATCTAGTCCAACCCTCTGCCATGGGCAGGGACACCTTCTTCCCTTCTTCTGATATAAATTCAGACACCTTTATGATTCTGCTGAAGCTTTGTGGAAGAAATGGGCTTTGAGGCAGTCAGAGATAGACACCAGAGATCTACACCAGTGCTCCTAAAGGCGGGATTTGCCCATTTGAAAGCAGAGAGGTTTCCTCTGCGAATTCCATTTCACGGTCTAACAGATCTCAGCATTAGCTACCTGCACTTCATTGTCAACCTAAATTTTCTTTTGCTCAGTTTCAGCCAATTACTCTTAGTTATAGCTGTAACCCTTGGATTATCTTAAAATAGTTTTCCCTTTTTAATGTTCACATCACTTGTGGGGTGGTTATCACCTCGCTGCACCACGGGCAGGAGCAGCCTTTCACTGCCATTTCCCCAAGGTGGAGAAAAGGACAATGTGATGCTATAAAAAGGAGAGAACATGGTCAAATAATCCCTCTTCATTTTCATTTCCAGGAAAAGTCATTACAGCCCCTGTAATGTCTCTTTAGGGCTGCTCTACAGACTTTGCTGAAAGGGGATTTCATGTTCTGGATCTCTGCTTGGGACTTTGGAGGAAAGCAAAGCGTGAAGGCAGGATTAGGAAGGGGGAGGCCAGACTTGCCACTGCATTGTGTGTGAGGAGCTCAGGAACGTGGTCTGAGTGTGGGGATGGAGGAGCTGTGTGAGAGAGCCTTGGGGAAAGGTTTCCATCATGCCAGGGCTCTGTGCTGTGCCCTGGCTGGGACAGAGAAGGAATGACTGGGTGACAAGGCAGCCTGGCAGCATGTGCCAATTCCTGTTCATGGTGTAATCTGTGCTTTATACCTACCTGCACTGCTCCCCTAAAAATGTTCAGTTTGCTCCTCATCTCCCAGGGTTATGGCAGGCAGGGGAAGCACAACTGCTGCTCCATCCCTCTGAAAATGGACATTAGCAGTGCACAAACAAAGGAGCAGACCCCAAGGCCCTGAGCAAACAAACAAACCCAGTGCACAGAACAAGTAAGGGCTCTGGAAAGTGCTGCTGCTCACTGCTGGGTAAGCACTTTTCCTTTCTGCATTGTGTGTTGAGCAGCTGTGACATCCAGTGGCCAGACACAATACGGTTGGGTCTGGTACAGACCTCTCCATACGGGGTAACAATAACAGAGCCCTTCCACGGCACTTTTCATCTTCAAAAAGCTGCACAAGCACGAATGCATTAACCCCTGCACAGCTCAGGGGTGAGCAATGCAGCCATCCCACGAGTGCAGGGGACAGCACTCTCCAAAGGCATGGCAACCAGCTCTCCAGGCCATGGAGAACCTGCTGCAGGAACACAGGGCAGGACCTTCAGCCCCAAGGCAAGGAGCTGAGAGATAAGGGATCAGAGTGCTGCAGCTCACTCAGCACCTGATGAGGAGGCCGCACCTGAGGGATGGGTTGTGCTTGTTTTCCCAAGAGCAAAAATGTCCATGGAAAAAGAGAGGAAAGGATGGGGAAAGCTGAGAGATCCCAGCAGGAGCAGAGCTGCTTTGGAAGAGATCCTTTGTCAGAGGCCTGGCCTAAGGAAAAAGCTTCAGCAGAGAATTTCTGAAAACATCAGAGGACATTGCTGGTAGGTGTGGAAGGCAGGGAAGGCAGCACAGGCGTGGATTTGGATTAAGAAATGCAGCGGTGGAATGGAAGAAAGGTGACTACAAGGAGACGCCACCTTAAACTTCATCAGTGCCCAGTGTTTGCCTGCTCAGCCCTGCAGTGGGTTTGTCTGCAGGCAAGGTCACAGCAGGGACCTCCAGAAGGAGCAGAGTGCCCACAGCCCCCCTCTCCCAGCAGCTCATCACCACTGCCCTCTGAGGAGTAAGAGATGATGGGAGCTGAAAGTGTTTCCCATGAGAATGAGGTTGATTTTTAAGGCAGGAAGACAACATGAAGGAAATTTAAATCCTACTGTCTGTGTTGTACCTGAGGATCCTGCTTGATAACTCTTGTGCTTTACATAACATAATTTTGCACCCATTAAGGAAACAAATTAGTTGGTTTTGGACTACTTTATTTATTTTTTTTTTCAAGTTATCATTCAAAAAGCCCCCAATCTTAAACATCAAAAATCAATTTCTAGCTTTCTTTCCCCTTTGTAGTGGAATATATTTCAAAGAGAGGGGGAAGGCCCTGCTGAGCAAGGAGCCTCAGACACCCTGAGAGAGGCAATGCAGGACTTGCACTCTGGCCTCCACAGAGATGGTTACTGCATGGTTTCAGCATGGTTTCAGCATGGCTGCAATAAGCAGCTGTGGCCTTTGGATCCTCTACTCCTGGCAATTAATGTCCAGCTGGTTCTTTCAGTCTCCCTGCAGATCACCATATCAGATCATCAGCTCCTGGGAAATGTTCTCTTTGGTATCAGCACACTGATTCATGCATTGGTTCCGTTCCAAATGGCCATTGCCCGTGCCCTGAGAGTGGATGTGGCACTTGTAAATGTAGGTTAGCATTTCCAGTAGGAAAGAACATCCTGCCTGCTCCTGAGTGTCTCACACAGCCCTGGAGTACTCAGGGAGGCTGATGATGGAGCCACAGTGCACAGACCACACTAACCAGCACGGACTAACAGCCCTTCCCCACAGCCCTGGAGAAGACAGCATAATGAAGATGGAAGTTAAGAGCATTAAGCAAGCTGGAAATGCTGGGGGTTAAGAGCATTAAGAAAGCCATGAGGTCTGTCACCTCCAGCCATTTCACTATTCATGTGCCTAAAGGTGCCTCGCTGCAGGGTGAAGCTGGGAGACAAAGGCACGGCAGAAAATGGGATGAAAAGTGAGGGAGAAGGATGTAAAGTCAGAGGAGGCTCTGAGTGCCTGGAAGAAAACATATTGAGCAGTCATTCCACAATGTAATAGACACCCAGAAAGAACATTAGTCAGACTCTGCCATTACCTTTGCAATGAACGTTCCTTAAAAACACCAGGCTCTGCAGGGTCGATGAGGAGCAGGGATCTGAGCGCTCACGTCTGCATCCAGTGGCTTCCCTCTGGAGATCCCACCTGGGCTGAGGTGAGGGCCAAAGCTCCCCGAGATGCAGAGCTGCCCTCCCCAAGGAAGCTGCTCAGAACACAAGCGGGCTGGCACTGGCTGCAGTGGAAGGAGCAGGGGAGGGAGGTGCCCTCGCAGCCACCCAGGCACATCTTCAGGTGTTCTGGGAGGCTCTGGGGGGAAAGAGAAGGCCCAGAGCGTGCAGGAAGTGCTTTCAAGGTGCTCTGAAAGCTCACGCCCTGGAATGTGCCCTGCACTGCTGGTGCTCATTAGCACTTGGATGCATCGCAAACAAGTCCTGATCTGTGGTGGTTCTGCTCTGCCTTGGCACCCTCGGCTGTCTGAAGCAGTGATTTCACACTCTGCAGAGCTCCCAGGGCTCCTGCCCGGCTGCTCTGAACTGGGAAAGGCTGCCCTGGCTGCCTTCTATGCTCCAAAACATGTACATTTCTCACACTTCCAATTTTACCCGTAAAGCACAAGGAATGCAAGGCCTTGCAGTGGGGGGATTTTGCTCCTCAGGGTCGTTCTCCATTTCAGGCTGCTGGGTGCCTGAGAGCCAGGACTGTGCCGTGGTTTTTCTCCTCTGCTGGGAACACTGGCTCTATGTGTCCCCAAACTCTGTCCCCAGTGTCCACCCCATTAGCCAGACAGGCCCCCTCCAAACCGTGAAATATTTTAAGGGTGTACTGAGTATTTGATAAACTGGTAACAAGCCTGTATTCCCAAAGAAACTCCTGCTTCCTAGATACCTCATAGCCTTGGGGATGCTCTTTAAAGCGAGACAAAAAAAAGAAAAATCAGGCAGGATACACGAGTGAGCAGCAGCACTTTTAATACCAGCTCCGAGTTTAATTTTAACATGCATGGCACAGCGCGAGTTTAAATCTGCTGATCCAGGAAAAAATTATACCAGCACCTGAACAGGGCCAGGCTTGTGCTCATGGATGCCTGCAGCCCCAGTGTCCCCAGCTGTGCCTCCTCGGGGATCCTGCAGGCTCCAGCGCAGGAAATCTGCTTTGTGCTGCCTCTGCGCCCACAGGGGAAGGAGGGTGAGGCAGGGGACAAGTCCTAAACCCCTCTGAGGAGTTCTGAGGGAGAGCTCAGGGCAGGGGGTTTGCTTTAAACCCCTTCTCTGCCCCCCCACCAGGTCAATTATGACCTTTCAGAAGACGTTTTGTCCCCAAAGAGCACCCTGCTGTACTTCAGCATCAGACTTTGCTGCCTACCACAATGTTTAATTTCCCTCAGCCTCAGGCTTTCTTGTGCTCCATTTTCTTTAGCTCATTACGAGACTCGACACCTCTCTGTGATTTTCCTGCACGGCAATAAAGGCGAAGATAGTGAAGCATCTGGAATCCAGCAGTTAAAATTCAGCATAAAAATGCAGCTTTAGGATTTCCAGCATCTGGAATGTGTTTTTACAGGGAATGTGCCCTCACAGCAGGAAGGGTGAGGCTGCAGGACAAGCCAGTGCTGCCAAGGGGTATAAGGGGTACAATTTGCAGTTTGGGGGGGCTGGCACTTCAAAAAAATCTACCAGTTTAATTCCAAGGGCATCTCCTGCCCAATGGTGCCTTATCTCAGCGGGGTAGGACCCAGCAGCATTCCACCCTGATTGGTGGCTGTGCCACCACAGGGATGTGCAGGGAAGGCACAAACCCCACACACAGCGGGCACAGGGGACACAGGGCACTGCCACAAACCAGCCTGGCTGGCACAGGGCTCGTCCCTCTGCTGTCCCAGCCGGGGTCACAGCGGGTCTGAGGGCACTTGCAATGCCTGGGGAAGCTCACTCAGTCCAGCTGACTTCCTTTGCTCTTTATTAGACTTTAAGCTTGTCCCTAGGGGATGTTCTCAGGAAGGAAAGAAAAATGTGCCCAGAAGGTACAGCAAGCACAGGCTGGCAGGGCAGGGCAGGGCTGAGGAGCACAAATTTCACTGATCTGTGAGCAATAAAAACTTCACTGATCTGTGAGCAATAAAACGGCTTTGTTGGGGCAGTCAGGGTGAACTGGGCACTGCCGCATCCTCACAGATGGAACACAGAATGGCTTGGCTTGCTGGGACCTGAAAGCTCAACCCATCCCAGCCCTGACACAGGCAGGGATGCCTTCCGCTATCCCAGAACACTGGGCAAAGTTTGTGCTCCTGCTGGTGCACTGCTGTGGGGTGTCACAGCCCAGCTTTTCCACACTGGGCAAAGTTTGTGTTCCTGCTGGCGCACTGCTGTGGGGTGTCACAGTCACCATCAGTGCTCCTTGTCCCCCTGCCCCAGGAAGTGTGATGGTTATTCACTTCAAAATCAGAGTGAGTATTTATTGCGTTTGTAATTAGCCTTTCCCTGGAACTATTACAAACACACACATCCGTTCCAGCCTTCCTCTTTCCAGGTTTACTCATTATTCCCGCACCCTCTAAGTCTCCCAGGCCCAGCCCTGCCATTTCTCCTCCCCAGGGAGATGCTCCAGCCCCAACTTTGTGACCTCCACCGGACCGTCTCCAGTAGCTCCTTGCCTTTCTTGCACTGAAGAGACCAGAACTGGACACAACTGTGAAAAAAGGCTGAGGGAATTGGGATTGTTATGCCCGGAGAGAAGCTCTGGGCAGCCTCCTCATGGCCTTCAGTGCCTGAGGGGAACTCAAGAGAGATGGGGAGGGAGAGGGAGTGCCTATAAGGGCGAGCAGGGACAGCACAGGGGGAATGGGTTCAACCTGACAGAGGGCAGGTTTAGATTGGAGATTAGGAACAAATTCCTTGTGAGGGTGCTGAGGCTCTGGCACAGGGCACTATGGATGGAGGATAACTCTGAAAGCGTGCAGGGCCAGGATGGACGGGGTTTGGAGCAAGCTGGGGCAGCGGCAGATGTGGATGCCCAGTGTCTGTCCCCTCACGCCATGCCTGTCCTTCAGCTGGGGCAGCGGCAGATGTGGCTGCCCACGGCAGAGTTTCGGACCCGGCTGATGCCCAGTGTCCATCCCCAGCCCGGCCGCCCCTCACGGCTCCCCCCGCACCCCGCTCCACATGGTCCCGCCCGCTCTCCCCGCCCGCATGCGCCGCGCCGGCCCCGCCCCCTCGCACGGGGATTTTCCACGAGGCCCCGGCCCTGCCGCACGTAGCGCACGCACGCGAGCCCGCCGCTGGCGCGAGGCGGCGTCAGCCAATCGGAGCGCGGCAGGGGACGGCGCTGGCCAATGGGCGCGGCCGGGGGGCGGGCCCTGTGCGCGAGGGCGGCTATAGGCGGGCGAGCGCGGAGCCGTTGGGTCTCAGTCAGAGCCGGGGCGGCGACAGCAGAGGGGCTGCGGAGCGGGACTGCAGGCACAGTGGTGAGTGTGGCGGCTGCAGCGCCCCCATCAGCGCCCCGCGGCCCTGAGGCCGTGCTTCCCTTCTCCGGGTAGCGGCCGCGGAGCCCCGGCTATCCCCGTGGCGGAGGGCCAGGCCGAGGCCCGGTGGTCCCCGGGGGGTGCAGGCCACTGTGTGTTCCCGCAGCACCGGCGGGGAGGGAGGGCCTGAGCCCCGGCAGTGTGCGGGCGTGGGGGTTAAAAACGGGGGGTATGGTGGGTCAAGGTGGGGGCTGAATTGGGGGGATGTGGTGGGTCAAGGCATCCTCAAACGCAGAGTTTAACCTTTTCCTTTTAATCATTAACAGTCGCTCTCGGATTGCGTGTGGTGATTTGGACCTTCCTCTCTTTAGTGGATGTCCTTCAGCTTCCCATCTCAAATATTTAACGTTTGCTAGCAATGCGTCTGTGCCTGAGGTCTATTGGGGTATTTAAGTGCTGGTTGTCCCCGGGCAGCGCTGGTGGGGGGGAAGCGCCTGGATGTGCAGGTGTGGATAAGGAGCTGCTGTTGTAACCATCTCACCTCGTGCAGCGCTGCCAGAGAGGATCCCGAGCTCTCCTGCTCCGTTACTCGCCTGCTGAGTCACAGGGTAGGGCCATGGCTCGCCGAGCCTGGCAGGAAGTACTGAAGTTTGTCATGCAAACCCGCAGGAGATGAGCCAACGCAGTTTCAGGCCTCCATCTTACCAAGCACAGAGAGAGAAAGTGATTGGACGTGTCTGTGATTTGCTCCCTGCCAGGCATCCTTTAGAACCCGTTGGATCGTGTTGTAGAGGTGCATTAGTACCCCGTGCAGTGCAGAGGAGCAGGGATGGATTGTGCCCATTTGTCCGGTTTCTGGGAGTGCTTTGGCAGGGGAATTAATACGTTGGGATCTGATAGAGTGCACTGAAAGGTCTCGGCTTTTTTCAGAGCACTGGTGGTATGAGAGTTGGGGTCATGAGGACCTTTAAGTGTCAGGAGAGGCTTCCACTGATAAATGTGGCAGGCCTGTAATAGGACACTCACTAGGGCAGTTATTTCTATGGCTAAACTTTAGTGTTGCTTTTTAAATCCCCATTCAGTTTGCAGTGCTCAGCCTTAACTCCATATTGATTTTAGAGAAGAGTGGCTGCAAGAGAGCTCACAAGGACAGGGTTTGGTGGTAAGGTTGTCTATAAAAAAAATCTTTTGATTTAATTGAAATAATTTTCAGTTGGAGTAATCTCCAGTTGAGAGTACTGCATTCCCTATGCAGGGTCAGGTGAGGAATAAGTGGTGATTTCTTAGACTTGAGCTGCTAGTGATGAAGGTTCTCAGAGCTGGCAGGGGTTGTAACTTACCCTTGGAGCAGGCCAGGCAAGCTGGAGTGTGTGCCTTCCCCTGAAGGGAGACAGTGACCTTGTCAGCAGATTATGCTGCAAAAAAAGGTTTAAGGCAGTGTGCTCGTTAAATGCCACCGGGGTGTTTGCGTGTTTGGAGAGGACAAAGGTCTGGGCAGGCAGTGCTGCTGTGACCTCTCTGCCTGCAGTCAGCATTTCTGGGGTTGAACCTGGGCACACAGGGGCTGACCCTTGTGTTCCAGGTGAGTTCACTGATTCCATCGTGGTGAGCTAAACAGCATCAGGTTTCTTTTATAGCTCAAAGGGAGACTTGTTTCTTGAGCACAGGAGTGGAGAAGGAGCAGCAAGGATTTCTGGGGTGATGCCATGCTGTGAAATGCCTCTTTCTGCAGAGAAGGGAGGGACTTGTGGTCTTTTGTCAAGGAAGCTTGAGTAATGTCTGACCTGGCATTTCCAGTGGCAGTTCTTGCAGTGTGTGTTCCTGAAGGTCAGCAAGCAGCTCCAGCACTGCTCTGGGGGGTCCTGGGGACTGGCTGTGCTCTCAAAGAATGAGCCACCTCAAGTTCTGTGGCAAAGCCAAGGTTCTAAAAAGGAAAGTAAGGTTTAGCAGGTGCCAGCCTGATAAACTCTGGAAGCCCTTTTTGGATAAGGGGACAATCTTCCTGTTAGCCATTGCTCAGTGCATCTGCAGCGAGCTCAGTGTGGGTGTGGGTGGGACTGATAAGCAGAGCCTTGCAGGGATTTATTTCTAGCTTGTGTGTTCCTTGATTGAAGCTAGGTGGTGGCAGCATGAAGGTCAGCCTGAAGAAGCTGTCTTGTTTCATATTTTAGTGCTATCGTGTGTCAGTGTGGGGGTCTGGCTGAAATCTTAGACAGCGTGCAGGGGCAGGACAGCTGGAAGGGACATGGGGAGCAAAGGCTGCCCGTGCCTCTGCCCTGGGGAGGGCAGGGTGTGCAGCCACCCCCTCACTCACAGACTCTGAACCAGCAGCAGCATTGCTAAGGTCATGTTTTTCTAACTTTGCACTAACTGTGGAAGGATTCACTACCATTTCTGTAAACAGGGTTGCCACCCACATTGGCTTGCCAAAAAAACAGCTTCCAGATAGTTCTGCTTCTGAGGCTGAGCTTTCTTCTGTGCAGATGGGCTGGGTTTGGTGCCAGTCAGTGGCTTACAGGCATGTGTATGACTTGATTTTTAAAATGTAGCTGGGCTTATGTAAGAATTCCCTTACTGCAGTTTTCTGAAGTGGATAAATGTGAGAAGGGACAAAGGAAGTATTCAAAGGACATGGGATATTTTTATTCCTTTTAAGATGAAAAGTTAAGAGGAAAAACTATTCCTGTAAATGCTCAACAGGGTGTAACTATTAATGCAAGTTTTTGATGAGAGCTGTGGCTGCTTCTCTTTGGTCACTGATTCCGTTTGGCTCTGAGCAGCTGCTGTGCATACTAAGAGCACTCTGTGCCTGCTGAGAGCTGTTGCACTCGGGTCTCTTATCAAAAAAAAACCTCTTAACTGATAGCAGAGAGTTGCTGTTTTGGGAGCTCTTCGCTGCTCTAACATGATGAGGTGAAGTTCCTTTAGATTTATCATCTGCTCCTGCTGCTGTCTAGGGTCTGATGATGCACGTCAAGTCATTTGGAATCATCAAGAGATTGTCCCTTGCACATGAGGAAGTGATTTTTTTTTTTAATAATAAAAGTCATGGGACACTGGAAGAGCTTGCCCAGAGAAGCTGTGGCTGCCCTATCCCTGAGAATGTTCCAAGCCAGGCTGGATGAGGCTCATCCAGCAACCTGGTCTGGTGGGAAGTGTCCCTGCTCATGGCAGGGTGTGGGATGGATTCAGCTTCATGGTCCCTTCCAATCCAAACCATTCAGTGAGTAACTGGAAGCTCCTTTTTTCAGGTACTAAAGATGTCTATCACCAAGATCCATGCCCGTGAAATCTTTGACTCCCGTGGCAACCCCACTGTTGAGGTAGACCTGTACACCAACAAAGGTGAGTCCTCAGCTGCAGCTGTTCATCCCTGGCTTAGAGCTGATAGAGCCTGAGCAGGCAGAAGTGTACAGCCAGTTCTGTTCTAGCAGTGGAGCTGTGCTGAATTCTTCCTCCACACATAAAACTTGTTGGAACTTGCTGTGGGCCTTGCAGAAAAAGCCTCTGCCTCATTCTGTTGGATGAGTTTGCTGAGCTTGAGTTCCTGGCCTGGGCAGTGCAGGGTTTTTTGGAAGGTGCTGCTTCTTGCAGCCCAAACTGTGGGAGAGCTGTTCCAAACCTGCCTTCCTTCCCCTGCCCCAGCATAAACTGGGACAGTACCTGGAAACTGTGCTCTTGAGCAGCTGCTGATGGCCCTGCTTGTCAGTGCTCCCCACGCTCTGTATGAGCACACTGAAGTTTAATTCTCAATTTGTCTGCAGTGGCTTTCTGTAATGACACAGTCTTCTGCTGCTCAGCTGAATTTTGGGTAATGGCTTCTCCTCTGCCCAAGTACTCAGGCATGACTGAAGAACATGCCTAATTGGGCTTTCACATGTAACATCTTATATTTTTAATTATTGTAGGACTTTCCCTTGGTTTGTTAGCTGTTCATCCCACATCTGATAGGATCTGACAAAAGCATTGTGCAAGCTCATACCAATGTGATTTGGTGGAATGAGCAAACACAATGGCTGTAATACACTGACTAAAGAGTTGATCTTTCTGCCTCAAAAGATTAATGCAGTCATTTAATGAGACTGCCCCCACTAAGCTCTTTGATTTAGTGGGATAAGGGAGAGGCTGGAGGCTGAAGTTGGCACCTTGAACCCCAGGCAGAGCAGGCTCCAGAGTGCAGATTGGCTCTGAGTTCAGCATCCTTGGCTGGAGGAATGGGCTGTCTGGGTGGCTCTGCTGTTGCCAGAAGAGCTCAGAACTCCTGTTAACAAAATAGGTCTCCTAATTGTCCCTTTTATGCCATATCCTAGAAGAATTTAAGAGCTTGCCTTGCCTGAGCTCAAAAGCAGATCCAGTGAATGAAGCTATCGTTTTTGGAAGGGAAATGGAAGCCTTCCTTAACTCTTGACATGCCAGTGGAAGAGGAGGAGTCAGTTTGCTATTGGTCAGTGAGTGTGAGGGAGATGCTGATAAATGAGCAGAAAGCCCTTGTGGGATCACTGTATGTGAGCAGAGGTGTGGTTTGCAGGGCTGGGATGGTGTCTGGCTGGGGATGGTTGGTGTTTGAGTGTGCCAA